GGGGAGTAACAGATTACATGTACCGGAGTTAAGTAATCAGAGTACAAAGTCTGAGTAACTGTATTCAGTTACAGTTACTGTTTCAGTGAGTGGTAATTGGATTACAGTTACTTTGTTGAAATAAATGGATTACATGGCGGGATTTTCCTGTTTTCATATTTTGGGCTAAACCAGGTCTAAACCAGACTAAACCAGGACTAAAACCAGGACTAAAACCAGGACTAAACCAGGACTAAAACCAGACTAAACCAGGACTAAACCAGGACTAAAACGAGGTCTAAACCAGGACTAAACCACTAAAACCAGGACTAAACCAGACTAAACCAGGACTAAACCAGGACTAAACCAAGGACTAAACCCAGGACTAAACCAGGACTAAAACCAGGACTAAACCAGGACTAAAACGAGGTCTAAACCAGGACTAAACCAGGACTAAACCAGGACCAGGACTAAACCAGGACTAAAACCAGGTCTAAACCAGGTCTAAACCAGGACTAAACCAGGTCTAAACCAGGTCTAAACCACTAAACCAGGACTAAAACCAGGACTAAAACGAGGTCTAAACCAGGTCTAAACCAGGACTAAACCAGGACTAAAACCAGGACTAAAACCAGGTCTAAACCAGGACTAAAACCAGGACTAAAACCAGGACTCTAAACCAGGACTAAAACCAGGACTAAACTAAAACCAGGGTCTAAACCAGGTCTAAACCAGGACTAAACCAGGACTAAAACCAGGTCTAAACCAGGACTAAACCAGGACTAAAACCAGGTCTAAACCAGGACTAAACCAGGACTAAAACAGGTCTAAACCAGGGCCAATTTGAAGAGAACAAACATGAATTTTCAGGATGTGGTCGTTACATTCATGTAGTTTTAAAAAACATGACAATATCAAGTAATCCAAAGTATTCAGATTACATTACTCACTTTAAGTCATTTAATGGATTCCGTTACAAACTACATTTTGGTGTATGTAATCTGTAATCTGTAGGGGATTACATTTTAAAAGTCACCTTCCCAACACTGTATAAGACACATGGGAACAGAAAAGAAAGTTCTACCCTTTAGTGTTGAAGATCTTGTTCTGTTGAGTGTTTGTATTGTCTTTGTATCTCGATTGAATCTGTATTGGAAAAAAACAAAAAATGAAACCTTGAATCTTGAAAACATCAGTTGTGTTAGAACAATAGAAAACATGACCTGCCCTAATATTTCCCCTGTTTCCAACGCACCTAAAGCACACAGCTGCTCCTCCGCTCACACAAACAAACAGTGGGAGAGCAGGTGCTTTCCTCCGTCTGAGGAGAACACGCCACAACACCAAGTCAATCAAACATGAGGCAAGTGAAAATCTGTACACAGCGTCGGGGAGTAACAGATTACATGTACCGGAGTAATCAGAGTACAAATGATGAGGAACTGTATTCAGTTACAGTTACTGTTTCAGTGAGTGGGAATTGGATTACAGTTACTTTGTTGAAATAAATGGATTACATGGCGGTATTTTCCTGTTTTCACATTTTGGGCTAAACCAGGACTAAACCAGGTTTAAACTAGGACTAAAACCAGGACTAAACCAAAAAAACCAGGACTAAACCAGGTCTAAAACAGGACTAAACCAGGTCTAAACTAGAACTAAAACCAGGACTAAAACGAGGTCTAAACCAGGACTAAACCAGGACTAAAACCAGGACTAAACCAGGACTAAAACCAAGACTAAACCAGGTCTAAACCAGGACTAAACCAGGACTAAAACAGGTCTAAACCAGGACTAAACCAGGACTAAACCAGGACTAAACCAAAACCAAAGACTAAACCAGGTCTAAACCAGGACTAAACCAGGTCTAAAACAGGACTAAACCAGGTCTAAACTAGGACTAAACCAGGTCTAAACGAGGACTAAACCAGGACTAAACGAAGACTAAACCAGGACTAAACGAGGACTAAACCAGGACTAAAAAAAGGACTAAACCAGGTCTAAACTAGGACTAAACCAGGTCTAAACCCAGGAATAAACCAGGACTAAACTAGGACTAAACCAGCTCTAAAACCAGGTCTAAATGTGACTGTACTGACTCACATTAGTGCCGAGTGTAAAACAGTTTTTCTAAATTACACTCGGTTCACAATTTTACTATAACCAACCACCACAAACCGGACAAGGCAAGTTTATTTGTACAGCACAATTCGTACACAAAGTAATTCAAAGTGTTTTACAGAATAAGAAATACATTAAAATCATAATAAAAACAAATCAAAACATAAATAATCATGAGGATTAAAATTAAAAAAGAGAGACATAAATTGGAGAGAAGAGTGCGGAATGAAAACCTTTCAGTTATTTGCACAGTTAAACAGAAATGTTTTGAGTCTGGATTTAAACAGCGTCACAGAAGAGTCTGTCTCACATGTTCAGACTGTTCCAGGTTTTAGCTGCATGAACCTGAAACTCTGACTCCCCTTGTTTAGTCGTGACTCTGGGCACCAGCAGGAGTTGGTCCCTGAGCTCCTCAGAGTGTGAGATGTTCATATGACACTAACATGTCACAGATGGACTTTGGTGCTCGGCCATGGAGACACTTGTACAAACAGAGCTGCTTTAAAGTCTCTGAGCCACAGGAGCCAGAGCAGAGACCTGAGACCAGGACTTATGTGCTCGTTAGGGATGGGCATGATTAGTCGATTAATCGATAATTGATCATTAAGAATTTCATCGATTATGTTAATTTTAATCGACAAACCGAATGTAGGTTGCTGTGTGTGTCGTGACCAAACAGGTGTGTACATGTGTCTCTGCATCAGAAGGAGCGAGACACAAACAGTGGGTCAGTCTGTAACGAACCGAAGCACAAATGTGGATTTAACGATGATTTGGACAAGAAATTCCACACTTTCCGTTGCGTTGGGACAAGTGTGAGTCCATGTGCACAGTGTATAAAGCAGCACATATGTTTCTGTGTCCAGTGGGAAAAAGTTTTTCCAGGTGAGAGTCGCTCAATGTGGATGACGAGGCCCCGTCCCCCTCCCCCCGTACGCTGTCCTGGTTTTGACAAACACAAATCTGGTCACACTGACCTGTATTCACCTGAGTCATGTCTTTTAATCCAACACAAGTTGAACCACATCAGCGACACAAGAGCTGGAGTTTTATCTTCGCTTAGTTTATGTAAATTAGTGATGTGGTTTTAAGTTTTGTTTCTGTGAGATTTGAACAAAACTGAATTAAACACATTATAATGTCAAACAGCTGATGTGGATCTAGAGTCGTTATGGTTTATATGTCGTAAAGTTGAATTTTTTTATTTGTGCAGATTAGTGCAGATAGTAATAATAATGATGATCATTTTAATATAAAAACGTTAATGATTAATCGATAATCGATCGTTAATTCTTCCGCCGATCGATTAAGAAAATTTCATCGAATGCCCGTCCCTAGTGCTCGTACTTCCTAGTTGGAGTCAGGACCCGAGCTGCAGCGTTCTGGATGTTCTGGATGTTCTGGATGTTGTGGATGTTGTGGATGTTGTGGATGTTCTGGATGTTCTGGATGTTCTGGATGTTCTGGATGTTCTGCAGCGTCTCACAGCTCGTTTGGAGAGACCAGTGAGCAGAACATTACAGTATCTAACCTACTGGAGACAAACACATGGATACGTTTCTCCAAGTAGGGGTGGGCGATATATCGATATTTTAAATATATCGAGATAGTTTTAAAACTCGATATGAATTCTGACATATTGTATATATCGAAATAATGCTTATATTAAATTTTGATTTCGCCGCTTCGCTGTTTTGTTTCTCTCTCGTCGCCTCCCTGATTTTGTCGCTCGTGTCTCCTTCACTCGTCACTGTCGCCCTGAACGCCCAAAGTTGGTGCCAGTGAAAAGCTTCAAGCCCCACGAACCTTTTCCACCATTTACAGACAAACCACCAGCAGCACATCCTCATATTCCACCGAGTCGCATCCTTTAGTCTGAAAGAAGCTGAACGAGCTGAGCTGCAGGAGAAGTGCTGTTTATCCAAAATGACTCATGCGCTTGAGTTTCGTTTCTGTAAAATGTAAACACACGTGCGCAAAACTGCATTAAACACATTATTATCTCAAACGGGCTGATGTGACTCATAGTGGTTATGTTTTATATATTGTAAATTCTATTTATGCAGAAGATTTTAATGAATAATCTGCTGCAGTGTCACTTGTACAACAGTGTTTGGAATCGTTGGGTTTGATCTGCAGTGGATTGTGGGATTAAACCTCAGATCCTGACGCTGGAACATGGATCTGTTAAAATAAGGAACATCCTGAGCTTCTTCTGCTAAATGAGCTCATGGTTCTGGTTCTGGTCTGGAGAACAGAGTTAATGCAAAGATGAGCTTGTGTTGAGTTGTTTTATTTATGAATGAAAAGAAGGAAATATGTTTTATTTTCTTTTTTTTTACAGTTAAATTATTATTTATGTAATTAGGTTTTTTTGTAATCTTAAATGTTCCTGTATGAACTACCGACCTCTTACACTTTAATTAAAAAATTTTTTTTTAAAAAAGGACCTTGTGAAATTGGCAGATTTGTTTTTGCAGTTTTCAGTTTTGGAGGTTATTTTTTCTTGAACATATATCCAGATATATATCGTATATCGAGATATAGCCAAAATATATTGAGATATATTTTTTGATCCATATCGTCCAGCCTTATCTCCAAGTCTGATTTAGACAGTAAACCTTTGATTTTTGACATGTTTTTTAGATGGTAAAAGGCTGCAGATGTTATTGATTTGATGTGGCTGTTAAAGTTCAAGTCTGAGTCCATTATGACCCCGAGATTTCTTCCCTGATTTGAAGGTTTCAGAGAGAGAGACTGGAGGTGACGCTGACCGGGGATGTCCCAGTTTTTTTATTTTATTTTGAAAACCTGGTCACACTAACTATTACAGTACTCCCACGAATGTTGTTAAAATACTTGACTTAAAATGTGAATAAATTGCCTAAATGAAAAGCTGACGTCATCCCTCTCTGTCTCAGTCCGTAGTGTACTGTCATGGCGGTCGAATCGGCTTCTACCAGGGAGACATTCGACTCCTCTCGGACGACATGAAGGCTCTGCGGCCGACCATCTTCCCCGTGGTCCCGAGACTCCTCAACCGAATGTACGACAAGGTAAGAAAACACTACTACTACTACTACTACTACTACTGCTGCTGTAATACTCGAAGGACTGCAGGTACTCGCGTCACAGCTGAGCCCGGGATGACGTAAACCTGCAGATGCGAGTTCGTCTCATTCTCAGTTTATGTTCAGGATTCACGTGAAAGAAGCTCGGAACTTCCACCAGTATGGAGTAAGAAGTCTGGATTTAAACAGCGTCACAGAAGAGTCTGTCTCACATGTTCAGACTGTTCCAGGTTTTAGCTGCATGAACCTGAAACTCTGACTCCCCTTGTTTAGTCGTGACTCTGGGCACCAGCAGGAGGTCGGTCCCTGAGCTCCTCAGAGTGTGAGATGTTCATATGACACTAACATGTCACAGATGGACTTTGGTGCTCGGACATGGAGACACTTGTACAAGCAGAGACGCTTTAAAGTCTCTGAGCCACAGGAGCCAGTGCAGAGACCTGAGACCAGGACTTATGTGCTCGTACTTCCTAGTTCGAGACAGGACCCGAGCTGCAGCGTTCTGGATGTTCTGGATGTTCTGGATGTTCTGGATGTTCTGGATGTTCTGGATGTTCTGCAGCGTCTCACAGCTCGTTTGGAGAGACCAGTGAGCAGAACATTACAGTATCTAACCTACTGGAGACAAACGCATGGATAAGTTTCTCCAAGTCTGATTTAGACAGTAAACCTTTGATTTTTGCTATGTTTTTTAGATGGTAAAAGGCTGCAGATGTTATTGATTTTATGTGACTGTTAAAGTTCAAGTCTGACTCCATTATGACCCCGAGATTTCTTGCCTGATTTGAAGGTTTTAGAGAGAGAGACTGGAGGTGATGCTGACACTGTCCCTTTGTTTCTGTGGACCAAACACTATGACTTCAGTCTTGTCAGAGTTTAGCTGGAGAAAGTTGTTTTGCATCCACACACTGATCTGTTGCCACTTTTTCCTGTGTACATATTGTCCCTGGAGCGGATGTTCTAACGCGAAGTGATGGTTCCTCCTCAGATCTTCAGCCAGGCCAACACTCCTCTGAAGCGCTCCCTCTTGAACTTCGCGGCGAGGAGGAAAGGAGCTGAAGTGAGTCGAGGCGTGATCCGCAGCGACAGCATCTGGGACAAAATATTCTTCAGCAAAATACAGGTAAGTGCTGATAAGGCAGTACGGCGCCCTCTGCTGGCTCGGGTTTGGTAAAAGACTGAATACAGGAGTAGACGTCGCCGCACAGTGTTCAGCTCCAGCCAAACGAAGACAAACGAGGCCAGAGGTTAAAGGGATAGTTCGGGATTTTTGACATGAATCTGTGTGTCGTCCCCGTGAGCAGTGTCGTGCATCAACACTGACTCACCCCCGACAGCGTCCGGTGAACCGAGATACTGACCGTTTTCGGTGCTGAGGAAAGTCGTCCGGCAAGTTGTGCTGGGGACTGTATAATAAAGTGTTTTTCTTCTCAAAACAATCTGTGTTCAAAAGAGTGAGACATTTGCGTCACAAAACCATCGTCGCCTAAAAAGTCACACCTCATAATCTCTTGGCACTATTTTCTTTCTGTTCGTATCACTAAGCCAATGATGTTCATTTTGTCTTCTTATGTACTTCAACTTCTTAGGTTCTTTTTAAAGACAGTGCAGTAAAGTGTATTTACCTTGTTGACATGTTTCGGCTGCTGCATCTTCAGAACTGTCACCGGTGTTGGTGGTGACGTGTCGTATATCAGCTGTTGTTACTTCCTGTAGTCCGTGGTCAGACTGACCTCCTGAGGACCCACCTCCGCAGGTCCATTTCAGGTCCTGATCCATCGCCTCCATCCAGTGTAAGTAAGTCAATCAGACCTGATTATGACCTGTTCTCGATCACGTGCAACATCATCCAACACCGGTGACAGTCAGTCTGAAGGGATGGGACACGCAGGACAGAAGGACATGTCAACACCAGGTAAATGACACACTTACTGCATTGTCTTTAAAAAGAACCTAAGAAGTTTACGTGTTCGTATCACTGCGCGCGGCCGCCAGGTGACAGCCGCGCCTGGTTCACTGTGTTTACTGCTCGGAATGTCAGCGACAACATGTCTGATTACGACACCGACAATAAAGACTTTGCCTTTACCACAAAGCCAAGGGGAGATCTTTATGAACCCGAATATACTGATGCCGAAATTCACCAGATGGAGTTAGAACGAGCAGAGAGAGAAGAGAGACAGAGAAGTGGTACAAGTTGAAGCTGGAGCCGTGAGAGACCGAGTGAGCGACAATCACCATCACGTCATTTATAAACTTGTATACAGTGAAACATAGAGCCTCGACACTGTGACTGAAGCATGGACGACTGATAGAAACATGGAATCATCCACACGTCCACGTCGCTGCTGCCAATAGTGTACGAGACATTTACAATAGTAATAACAGTCGACTTATAAAGTTACGTTTTGTAGAAGTTTCACTGGTGACATGACACTGAGTGATTTACTGCTGATTCTTGAACCTGTTCTCTTGTAAACACAGCGGCACTTCTTTGTTCTTACCTGGTTTGGTTTCCACATTGAAGCCGAAGGCAAGAAGTCAAAGTTTCCTCAGCGTAAAGTCCGTTACAGGAAAACGGTGACAATGTGCGTGGAGATTCAGTCAGATTTTTGTTGTTACAGCCTGGAGAATCAAGAGTTTGCACCATTTTTTAGATATATTTTTATGTGTCTTATTCAAGTTTATACACTTATGGCTGTAGCTCTCTCATGTTGCAGTGTCTGCACATGTAAACACTGCCGAACAACTGAACAAAGTGATGGATTCGTCACCTGGCGGCCGCGCGCAGTGATACGAACAGAAAGAAAATAGTGCCAAGAGATTATGAGGTCTGACTTTTTAGGCGACGATGGTTTTGTGATGCAAATGTGTCACTCTTTTGAACACAGATTGTTTTGAGAAGAAAAACACTTTATTATACAGTCCCCAGCACAACTTACCAAACTACTTTCGTCGGCACCGAAAACGGTCAGTATCTCGGTTCACCGGACGCTGTCGGGGGTGAGTCAGTGTTGATGCACGACACTGCTCACGGGGACGACACACAGATTTATGTCAAAAATCCCGAACTATCCCTTTAAAGCGGCGAATCCACAACCGGGGTCCGTACTTGCAATTCCGAGCGTGTTGAAGGTTCTCGACCCACTTCGCTTGGAGACGAGGCACAACAGCTGTCAGGAAGAACCTCATGGAAAGAACACACCAGATCTCGATTCTTGATCTTGTGACAAAATAGCGAAATAAAAACACCAGGATCATGTAGCGCAGGTTCATACAATCAATTTAAGATTCCAGAATGTGACACTGATAGAGGAGTAACAGATTACATGTACCAGACTTAAGTAATCAGAGTACAAATGATGAGTAACTGTATTCAGTTACAGTTACTGTTTCAGTGAGTGGTAATTGGATTACAGTTACTTTGTTGAAATAAATGGATTACACAGAGGGATTTTTATGTTTTCACATTTTGGGTTATATCCCTTTTTTTCGGTAATTCCACTCATTGCCGGACACTAAACCAGGACCAAAACAGGACTAAACCAAGACTAAACCAGGGACTAAACCAGGTAAACCAGGACTAAACCAGACTAAACCAGGACTAAACCAAGACTAAACCAGGACTAAAACCAGGACTAAACTAAACCAGACTAAACCAGGACTAAACCAGGATAAACCAGGACTAAACCTAAAACCAGGACTAAACCCTAAAACAGGACTTTAAACCAGGACTAAAACAGGACTAAACCAGGATTAAAACCAGGTCTAAACCATGTCTCAAACAGGATTTAACAGGACTAAATCCTGCTGCGTGCACCGTGTCTCCTCGTCTTCTATCAGTAATATTTTTTTATTTGGTTCAGTAAAGTTTGGGCTTTTTATTGTCTTTTAGGAGACAAAACATTTTATGTGAAGATTTCCTCGTCTTTGCTACTTTACAGCAAACCAAGTAATCCAAAGTATTCAGATTACATTACTCACTTTAAGTAACTTAATTGATTACGTTATAAACTACATTTTGGGGTGTGTAATCTGTAATCTGTAGGGGATTACATTTTAAAAGTCACCTTCCCAACACTGGTTGTTGCAGACGGGAGCAGTTTTTAGTCGACGGAGCCAAAGTTTGTGATCATGGCGCCCTCTGCTGGCTCTGCTCTGACACGTATTTTGTTTTTCAGGCCAGTCTGGGAGGGAGGCTGCGGATGATCATCACTGGAGCGGCCCCCACCTCTCCCTCCGTCCTGGGCTTCCTCAGAGCAGCGCTGGGGTGCCAGGTTGGACCAAAATAAGATCTTAACTCTTTCCCCCAAGAAGACGACATTTGACGACCTCCTTGTTTCCTTAATCACGTGTTTTGACTCCTGCTGTTTCACTAAAGACGTGATTTGACGACCTTTAGAAACGGCTCGGTTGTTCACATGTAAACAGAGACTGCGATCGGTCGGGGCCACTACAACCCACACTAGACTGACCAATAGGATTCAAGGATATGTTTTCGCAGATTTTTTCCAAAGTTAATCGAAGTAGTGACGATTGTAGCTTCCGGAAAAAACACAACATGAAACGTGCAATGGAAAGATCGCGGCGCTGCGGCTCACAGTTTTAGAAATAATGAGGAGCGGACGTATTTTATGGATAAGTTTAGAGAAAGTGACTTTTATAGATTTCAAAAGTGATGATGAAGTTGATTATAAAGTGGAAAACAGCGATAGAGACGGACTTTCAGAGAGTGAAACTTACGAAGATGAGAATATCGCTGATGCGTCTGTGTGGAGTCCTGCGATGTCCCAACAAACTATCTGAGCTTTATACTCGATTATGAACCAAAATTGCCCTGAAATCTGGATGTTGCCCAGACGAGTCCTTTAAAATATTTCAGTCTTTTTTTCCAAGATGCGACGTATAACAGAATCGCTACAGAAACAAACACTTATGTGGAGCTCTGCACACGAGAAAATAACCGAGATGACAAATACTGGACTCACACTGACGGGGAAGAGTTTTATTATTATATTATTATATTATAAGTTAAATTAGTTGAATAAATTAAATAAGTTGAATAAGTTAAATGGAAAAAATGAATGAGGTGCACACAGGTGAACAACAGGTAAAAACAGGTGCACACTTGGCTGTTCTGTATCTGGTGATATGAAATCTGTTTAAATACTTTGACAAAGTATATTTTTAATTTTTTTTAATGAATATATTACTCAGAACATGCAGATATCAGATGCTGAATGTAGTTTTTTTTGTTTTCGATTTTGCACCTGACCAGGTAAACTCTCATTTTCAGTGAGCTGTTATAAACCTGTAAATGAGTTGAATCACATTTAAACATCCATAAATGAAGAGTTCAGAGTCTAAGGTTTCCAGAGATACAAATATGTCTGTGTTACAACTAAGTTCATGAGTGTAAAAATCATTTAGTCTGTTTTCTTTTATGCTCTAAGGGTAGAACTCGTCATATATGTGTGGGTTGTTCCTCGTCGGCGTCCAGGAGGGAAAGAGTTAAAAAAAACACCAACATCTTCCACTTGTAGGAGTCAAATAATTAAAGTTATTCTCCTGTGCAGGTTTACGAGGCCTACGGTCAGACTGAATGTACGGCCGGCTGCACCTACACCACCCCCGGAGACTGGACTTCAGGTACAAACTCTCACTAAAAAACAAAAAAAAACAACAAAAAAAACACCGTACCTGATTTTTCCTGCCTTCAGAACATGAAAAACAGATCTAGGTCATTTCAAAAAGTGCCTTCAAAACATCAAAGCACCGCCGTGATTTCATAAGCATGACAATACGGCAAATAACTAGCATGCCAACACGCGTTTCCTGATTGCTGAACAATAAAACGCTTTGATATATTAGATGCAGATAGCACATGGTGGACTTCGACCTCAAGACACAAAACATTAACACGATGATGGATCAGTGTTATAAAAGCTTTTTAAATATGTCTCCTGTAACCTTTTACTTTTAAAATGTAATCCCCTACAGATTACAGATTACACACACCAAATGTAGTTTGTAACAGAATCCATTAAATTACTTAAAGTGAGTAATGTAATCTGAATACTTTGGATTACTTGATTTGTTGTAGAGAAACAAAGACCAGGAAATCTTCACATCAGATGTTTTGTCTGATAAAAGAAAATAAAAAAAAGCCCAGACTTTACTGAACCGTAATATAAATATTACTGATAGAAGAAGAGGAGACGAGGTCCACACAGCAGGATTAGTCCTGTTAAATCCTGTTTTAGACCTGGTTTAGACCTGGTTTTAGTCCTGGTTTTAGTCCTAGTTTAGTCCTGGTTTAGTCCTGGTTTAGACCTGGTTATAGTCCTAGTTTAGTCCCAGTTTAGACCTGGTTTTAGTCCCAGTTTAGACCTGGTTTTAGTCCTGCTTTAGTCCTGGTTTAGACCTGGTTTTGACCTGGTTTTGACCTGGTTTTGACCTGGTTTAGTTCTGGTTTTAGTCCTGGGTTTAGTCCTGGTTTAGTCCTGGTTTAGTCCCAGTTTAGACTTGGTTTTAGTCCTGCTTTACTCCTGCTTTAGACCTGGTTTAGTCCTGGTTTAATCCTGGTTATAGTCCTAGTTTAGTCCCAGTTTAGACCTGGTTTTAATCCCAGTTTAGACCTGGTTTTAGTCCCAGTTTAGACCTGGTTTTAGTCCTGCTTTAGTCCTGGTTTAGACCTGGTTTAGACCTGGTTTTGACCTGGTTTCACCTGGTTTAGTTCTGGTTTTAGTCCTGGGTTTAGTCCTGGTTTAGTCCTGGTTTAGTCCCAGTTTAGACCTGGTTTTAGTCCTGCTTTACTCCTGCTTTAGACCTGGTTTTAGTCCTGCTTTAGACCTGGTTTAGACCTGGTTTAGTCCTGGTTTAGTCCTGGTTTAGTCCTGGTTCAGTCCTGGTCATGATTCCACATCATTTGGAGTAAAAATGGCACCTTTATGGGGGATGACATCATGAATCGTGAACCACCACTTTAAAAAATCCACACTTACAGCACTGGTCGGACGCGAGTGGGTCATAAATGTCCAAAAGAGAATCTCTGTATTTCATTTATTTTAGCTGCTATTGAAAACATGTCAACGCACACTTGTTTTTTTTTTTTGTTTCAATATTTTTATTAATTTTCAGACAATAAAAATTCCACATGAACAACTGACCACGTTAACACAGGTCAACATACAACCAAAAAAAATAAATAAATTAAATAAAATAATAATAATAATAATAATAATAATAAAAATAAATATATAATAAGATAATAATAATAATTACAAACAAATTTCACACACTCACACACTCATACACATTCACACATTCACTTTACACAATATTTGCACAATACAATTTATCAGTCACAGGTGAGTCCTTGATTTATATTCAGTGACCATATGTACTTAAAAAAGAATAAAATAAAATAAAATAAAAAAATAAAAATAAATAAATAATAAATAAAATAAATAAAATATATAATTAAAAAGTACAGAAACATAAATAAATAAATGGATAGATAGATAATATAAAAAAATAGTAATCATAATAAATAAATAAAAATAAATAATAATAATAATAATTAATAAACAATAAAATGAGATAGGTAAATAATAATACTAAAATAAAATAACGCACACTTGTTTTGGAGGTAAAAAATTATTATTAACATGAGTAATCTTTTGTATGTATTAGGAAAATTACTCAAGGGGCTAAATTTGGATCAGTAAAATAACAAGTGTGACGTAACCTGCACCAAACCTCCTCAAAGCCTTTTAAGTGGACCTGCTCCACTTCTTGTAAATGTGCTCTTGAAGAAGAAATCGCCGAACAAAAGCCTCAGTCGGGGAGCGGCCCTGGCAGCGCGCGGCGGAATTTGGCCGAGCACCAAACCCCGCCAGGACAAAAAATCACAGCGGCGTTCGTGAGATTTAATCACAACCGAACGCACCGAGGCAGATCTGTGTAAACACGAGGCGCAGCTCTTCATGTCAGCGTCATGTCACGTCGTGAAAAACAACCTCAAGGCTCATGTTGTTTTCAATGAAACGTTTTCTAATACAGGAAGTGCTCCGTTGTGTTTTTAAACTCTGTACACAGTGTCGGGAAGGTGACTTTTAAAATGTAATCCCCTACAGATTACAGATTACACACCCCAGAATGTAGTTTGTAACGTAATCCATTAAATTACTTAAAGTGAGTAACGTAATCTGAATACTTTGGATTACTTGATATTGTCGTGTTTTTTAAAACGACATGAATGTAAAAACCACATCCTGATAGAGAAATGATTTTTATATGAGACACTGCTGCTTCAACTATGTCCACCTCCTGTTACGTCATATTGTTTAGTCCTGGTTTTAGTCCTGGTTTTAGACCTGGTTTTAGACCTGGTTTAGTCCTGCTTTAGCCCTGCTTTAGTCCTGATTTAGTCCTGGTTTTAGACCTGGTTTAATCGTGGTTTAGTCTTGGTTTAGTCCTGGTCTAGTCCTGGTTTAGACCTGGTTTTAGACCTGGTTTTAGTCCTGGTTTAGTCCTGGTTTAGTCCTGCTTTTAGTCCTGGTTTTAGACCTGGTTTAATCCTGGTTTAGTCCTGGTTTAGTCCTGGTTTTAGACTTGGTTTAGTCCTGTTTTATTCCTGGTTTTAGACCTGGTTTTAGACCTGGTTTAATCCTGGTTTAGTCCTGGTTTAGTCCTGGTTTTAGACCTGGTTTAGTCCTGGTTTTAGACTTGGTTTAGTCCTGGTTTTAGTCCTGGTTTTAGACTTGGTTTTATTCCTGGTTTAGCCCAAAATGTGAAAACAGTAAAATCCCTCTGTGTAATCCATTTATTTCAACAAAGTAACTGTAATCCAATTACCACTCACTGAAACAGTAACTGTAACTGAATACAGTTACTCATCATTTGTACTCTGATTACATTAACTCCAGTACTTGTAATCTGTTACTCCCCGACACTGTCTGTACAGTTTAACTAGAATCATTTGGATCATTTCAGCCCTGGAATCTGTACTTAACTAACAGGTCACATGACCACGTGGAACAGGACATTCTGAGCTTTGGAGACGACAGATTTATAAATAATAAACTCATAAATGTGTGAATGAAACAAAACACAACTCCAGATATGTTTTTGAGGAGGAAACAACATTATAATATGACTAAAACCTCACGTGTCAGTGTCACTTTAGTGTAATACAGTAGTTATAATCGAGGAAGGATTGTAAAAGACAGAATCACGTTATGAACTGGGACGGAGCAAACATCATCGGGACAGAGGAAAACAAACATCACCGCTGGATTAAAGAAGCAATCGAAATACAGAAACGTGCCCACAGGACTGTAAACCGGGACGAGGGGCTTTTTTACTCTCACACACCTGGGATTCTGTCCTGAGGAAGTGGGACTGCAGGTGGCGCTGTCGTCCTGCCTCCACCGAGAGGAAGACAGAGACAAAACCTGTTTAAATCAACTGATCAGACACGTCACAGCAACATCACGTGACTCTGAGGAAGACGCTAGTGAACAGAACAAACTGTCAGGTGTGAAATAAAACTCTAGGTCTGAAAAAAAGAACCTAATAACATAGAACATGTTATTATAACAGAGAATATGTTATTATAACAGAGAACATGTTATTATAACAGAGAATATGTTATTATAACAGAGAATATGTTATTATAACAGAGAACATGTTATTATAACAGAGAATATGTTATTATAACATAGAATATGTTATTATAACAGAGAATATGTTATTATAACAGAGAATATGTTATTATAACAGAGAATATGTTATTATAACAGAGAATATGTTATTATAACATAGAATAGGTTAGGGACAAAAATAATAATTACCAACCTGCACAGGCTCATGACATCTGCAAGAGACATGAGGGACCAGGACTGAACCAGGACTAAAACAGGACTAAACCAGTGTTAAACCTGGTCTAAAACCAGGTCTAAACCAGGACTAAACAGAACTAAACCAGGTCTGAACCAGGTCTGAACCAGGTCTAAACCAGGACTAAACCAGGACTAAACCAGGACTAAACCAGGTCTAAAACAGGATTTAACAGGCTAAATCATGCTGCGCAGACCATGTCTCCTCTTCTTCTATCAATAATCTTTTTAATACAGTTAAGTGAAGTAATAACATAGAATATCAGATGAATCTCATTGGTCTGTAATGGAGCAAAGCCTGGAGGGTTTGGAGGATCTAACTTGAGGTTTATCTTCCAGTAGAATTTACACAATCCCACAATTACTATGAGTTTATTAGTTCAAGGAAATAACTAGATTGAGCCAAATAAAATGTCCCATAAAATGTATTTTCCAGGCTTAAAGATCTTTTAAAGGTGCAACTGTGTAGTGGAAGTTGGCAAACCTACAAAAAAACTATGTCAACTATGTCAGCGGCTTAAAAAAAAACAAAAAACAACAAAACTAGTGAAGAGGAAAAGTCTGTATTAGTTTTTAGTAACTTGCTTTTGATTCATATATTGATATTTTATATAATAATACAGACTTTTGTACAGCCTCAGATCATTTCTCTTCACTAGTTTTTTTTTTTTTTTTTGAGGTTTTTTTTTTGGAGGGTTTTTTTTTTTTTGGAGTTTTTTGGAGTCATATAATTTCTGCAAAAATAAT